TTGAAGGGAACAAGCAGGAGAATTATTGATTTGCTTTCAAACTTTAAATAATCTTGTGGCTGCTGAATGGAGGAGGAGGAGAGAGGAGATGTAAATGAAGCCCAGAGAAGGGCTTTACACTGATCCAGTAAAGGCTGACAGTGGCTCTCACTAGGATAGTGGCATTGGGAAGAGCATCAAGTAGATTTATATAATAAGTATATGAGGAAAAAAGACTTGCCATCTGATCGTGAGGTGGAAATAAATAAGAATGGCAAGGACATTCCACGCTAAAACAAAAATATGATCTCAAAGTCAATTACATAGAGCCATGGTCAGCAAACTGAGGTTCGCGAGGCACATGCGGCTCTTTGGCTCCTTGAGTGTGACTCTTGCACAAAATATCACGGCCTAGGCGAGTCTATTTTGAAAAAGTGGTGTTAGAAGTTTAAGGTCAAAAAAATTTGGGTCTCAAGAGAAATATCAATTGTTGTACTGTTGATATTTGGCTCTCTTGACTTACGAGTTTGCCGACCATTGACTAGAGGTATGTATCAATAGCAGGAGGTGAGACACTCATATTTGAACTATCACCCAGATAGTCTTAACTTCATGCATTGCTATGGGTATATTTTATTGGTTAGGTTTTCCAGAAAAATGCGGAGCTGTTTTCACTCACGTTTCAGTATAATCATTTGTAGCAGTGAAATAATGTTGTCAGTCTACTGTAGTAGCCTAATTTATAGCAGTGCAAGGAATAGTAAAGGAAATGACAGATACATTTTGAAATATCAGTTTCAGAAACTGCACTATCAGCTGGATGTGTGCAGATGAAGGAGGAAAAGAAGAAACATGATTCTGAGGTTGCAAGCCTAAAGCCTGTGCAGCCTAAGATTAATTGGGCCCTTCATAATAATTTGCCTTCAAAGAAAATAGGACATGTATATTGGAGTCTCTGTGTATGTCTGCATCTGTGTGTTTCTGTGTTAGAAGACAGATAATGAATGGAATCATTAATTTATCTTGGAATATATACAGTTTGAAGCACCTGTCAAAAATCCACACTGCCATGCCCAACAGGTAGTGTAATTCAATTGCAAAAGAAATTGACACTTAGATCATCACAGGGCATTCAACTTTGGGAGATACAAGAATACATAGAGGTGATGATTAAAAATTTTGGAATGGATAAAATAAAGAGGAACTCCATATTTATTTTTGAAGAATGTTAATATTTAAAGAGTGAGAACTGAACAAAGAGCCAGCAACACAGTCCCTCAGTCACCAGAAAGGTTTCCATAGAAGGAAAGTTGAGTTTTACATAGGTAAGGGACTGGGGAATGCTTGTGTGTTTAACTATTAGAGATAGACTTAATTAGATCTATTATTTTATACTAGTGGCCTCTTGCAGGAAGATTCCTGCAATAGGATTTCCTGCTGAGGTCTCTGCCCCACCTGCTTTCCTCCCTTCTCCCCCAGCCCTGCCTGCTTTCCTCCCTTCTCCTCCACCCAGCTTGTTTCTATGCAGCTTCACTTCCTTCTGCAAGCTTGGCTTCTTTCTATGCTGTCTTGACATGCAAATTAACCACCATCTTGGTTGGGTTAATTTGCATACTCACCCTGATTGGCTGGTTGGTGTGGTTTTGTGTAGCAGGTTGATGGTTAATTTGCATATTACTCTATTATTAGGTTAGATGTTATATTAGTGGTATGATATTAGTGAAGGAGCTATTATATATATATATATATATAATATATATATATATATATTATATAAATATATATATATATATATATATATATATATATATATATATATAAGCTCCTTATATAAATTAGTAAATAACAATAGCTCCTTATTATAAATTAATACATTTTTATAAATGGGTCAATCAGTCCAAGAGCCTGAAAACAGCATAGTGGATTATCACAGTAGAATAGCAGCAAGAAGTTTTATCTGAGAGGAGTGCTTTGACCAGGTCCTGGGAAGATTTCAGGATGTTTATAGGCCAAAGGGGAAAGAATTAATAGACAAAAACTTATTGTAGTGGGGGGGAAAAAAGGAAAGAGATGGAATAATTAGTGGAGTATGGGGTGAAGGTGAGGAGAAGATATGTACTTTAAAGCAGTGGATAGGAGTCTGAAGTGTGAGAGAAGAAAATAAAAATTGAAGAGTAGAAGAATGAAAAGGAGTAGGGTGATAACTCCATCTAGGACTCCATCTTAATGAATTAATCATTCTAATTTTCTCAGGTTATGTCAGTTTTTCTCAAAACTGGCTACATATTAGAGCTGCTTTGTTTTAGTAAATACAATCTCCCCAAATGACTCTACTATGAATGCTCAGATCAATATTTCTAAAAGTTCCTCAGGAAGAATTCTAGTCTTCAATTAAGTTTAAGAACCACTGATTTAAGAAAAGTTTAGGAATAGCATCTATGGAGTTTGGACTGGATTGTTGACTATTGGTATTCTACAGAGTAGGGACTGGATAGTTAATTACTGCTATATTAAAATCGACATCTTTCAAATTTAAGAATTGTATATCAAAATGCAGATATTAAGTAGTATAAAGCTTTTAAAAAATATTTTTTGAGCATTTGGTTTTTTAAAAAAACTAGCAATGTGTGAAATGAGACCTTAAGACAATAAAGCATGATGCCCATTGGTGTCAACCTGTAAGATTTCACTGATGGACTACAAAATGGTATTTTATTCAGCATAAGATATTTTGCATAAACTGGAAAAAAATCATTCCCAAACATAGCAATGATTTTCTCCTGCATACAAGATGTGCTAATAATCTGATTATACTTCATTTCCAGTTATGAAAGAACTGGTTTTAGGGCAGTGTTCCTCTAAGCGTTGTTTATAAGCCATATATGTCAGAAACACTGTTTCTCTTTACAATAACCAAGTATAAGAGATATAAAGTTAGAAGACCAATTTATAAGTGAGAACATTTAACAAGCACCTAGCTACTTCCTGTCCACTTCTTGTAGACCAGGAGAGCTACATAATAAGAAAATAGCAGATTCAAATAGTTATTTACTTATATCAGGCCAAGAGAGTCTCGTGTCTACATTGAAAATGGTAGATTAAAAATGACCTGATTATAATACTTAAAACCTGTTATCCAAGACTCTCTTTGCTAGAGAATTCTGTTACCTTTATTTCTAAGTTTTACTTTTTTGACATCATATTACTAACCAACTAGTAAACTAAATGATCTTCTATTGGGTTAATGGGGAAAGGCAGAGTTGATGATGGGTTAGGAGTAGGGGGCGCCCAGGAGCCAAGTTTGTGACTCTTTAAAAGGCATTTGCACATAACAGTTCTGCATCATTTTAGTTTGTTTTATGTTTTCTTTCTCTCTCAATGAGAAAACTTGTTTTTATGACTATGTCACTTGTTTACAATGTATCAGAAATAGCATTACAATACTAATTATAAATCTTCATTTCTTGACATGAAATTTTAAAAAAATCAGAAGTATATTAACACAAACAACAATCTGTCTTCATAATCTGTACACTTCAGGAAAATATATAAAGTCATCTTTTAAGGCAAGAATGTTTTATAATGTAATACAAAAGGGAAATTAACTTTTGTAGACTGCAAATGCCAGAAATAAGCTTTTGATTCACTAAAGCAAACTTTTTTCTGATACATTTCTACCACATAATTGCTATTATTTTCTTATCCAGTTCCCCACTGGCAGTTTATCTGAGTAAACTTACTTTTATTTCTAACTATGTTATTACAGAGACGAGTGGCCCAAAATTCATTTACTGGAGACAGAGGTCCCTGAGCCAGGCCTGAACCCTCTCGCAGTCCAGGACTCCTCAGGTGATGTCCACTTGCTGGCTTAGGTCCAATTTCCTAAGCCTGAAACAGGGGATCAGTCCTAAGCCAGCAGTCAGACATTCTTCTTGCAGTCTGGGGCTCTCCTTAATCTGGGACCCTGTACTCCTTACCACCAGCCTGCAGCAGAGGCGGGAGAGGCTCCTGCTACTGCCACTGCATCCACCAACCATGAGCCTGGCTTCTGGCTGATTGGTGCTCCCCCTGTGCGGGGGAGGGAGGGGCGCGTGGGTGCAGCAGCTCCTGCATTAAGCATCTGCCCCCTGGTGGTATGTGTCATAGTGACTGGTAGTTCTGCCTTTTGTTCCACAGTTTGGTCAATTTGCATATTAGGGTTTTATTATATAGGAAGCATGAAAATTAGGTCTAATTAAATTAAGAACATGACAATAACTGTCCTTTCTTTATCTGTGTAAACTACAATTTTACTTCCTGTGAGGGCATGCCTCAATAAAGAGAAATGTATTTCTATGAGTCAATTAATGATTAGAAATACAGTAGCCCCCCTTTATCTGTAATGAATGTTTTAAGAACCCCAGCAGATGCCTGAAACTTCAGAGAATATGAAACTCTAATCAACTTCCTCAACTCTACTGGAAAGGTGGCAGCAGCTTCTTCATCTCCAGACACAGCCTCCCAGTAAGTTTTATATTGTTTTCAGTCCAAAGTCATTCTATGTAACCATCACTTCCTGGCAGGAAATGTATCATTTCTTGCTGAAGTCCTTGGGTAGGCTCAAGGCTTTCTGGCTCAGCATGTTGCCATTAATCGGAAAAAAAATGTTTTCTTTTCATGTCTACCAGCTACAATTTTATGCTTTTTTTCATCCTCACTAAGTACTTATCACACCCTGGGTCCATAACTTTTGAAGTTTGAGGTGTGGCAATAAAACTAGTGAGGATTTCTTTTTCTTTCTTCACAAGCTCACAGCTAGAAGATTCATTTCTACCTAGACTTCAAGCTATCTGACAGTGAATTTTTTTTTTCTTTCCTTACTAAGTCAAGAACTTTCACCTTTTCTGAAAAAGCAGCACAGTGTGGCATCTCTTTGGCATATTCAAATAACCCTTCTTGAGTGAATTTATTGGGTTATGTTGGTTAATATGCCCATGAACATAACTACTTGACATATATCTTCAAATTATATGGGTAGTTACCTGTATGACACTATCCCCAGGGCTCATGTCTGTATAAACGTAGACATTATAGGATACTTCGGGGAAGGTTGGAGTGTTATCATTTGCATCCAGCACCCGAATATTGACAACAACTGGCTGGCTTTCTTGCACACCATCAAAGGCCGTCATCTTTGGGTTAGAAAAAAATACAATTAATAGAGATGTCGGGCAAGCATAACCAGTTCAGAATTCATTCTTATAAAGTGTTCTATATGTAATTTACACGTTTAAAAGGACACTAATATGTTTTGTCAATAAAAGAACTAAAGCTATAATAGTACATATAATTAAAACATCTTAATGTGCTCAGAAGCAATTATAGAAGATTCTGTTTTAATTTCAATGTATTCAATGCCAAACTCCTTTTAAATAAGCCAATATGTAAAATGCTGTAGAGGCTTGAAGTGGGCTAATAACGTGGCTGATTCGTAGAAGTTAACTACTATTTAATTTTTATGAAATTGATCAGGAAATATTCTCCATTTTTACATATTTTTTATACAATTCAATAGTTTCTTTTAAAGCTAAAATGCTGATTATAAGTCAAGAAAGTAGGTGCCTTAGATTTGCAGAATCTCTTCATAAAATGGCAGCTTTTGAAGGCACACTGACATTAGTTAATAGTAATATCTTAATTACATAATTAACACTTTAAGAAGGTGTGATAAAAAAAAAAAGTGCTTCAACACTGTGGTCCTTGTTCTGAATGACTTCTGAAATCCACTCTGTATCAAAGTTTTAACTGTTAGTTTGGGTTTTCTGGAAGCTCTAGTTTAAGTTCTTCTGCTGTATCCACTTCTCCAGAAAGAACTCTAAAAGTCCCCAAACCAGTACTTTTCTATCAGATCATTCTCCTCTGGCAGCTAAACAAAATCTAGTTCAAAAATTTGGATGCACAGCTTTAATAAGCTTTCCTTTTCTTGATTAACCTAACCTACGATTTCTCCATCTCAGTGGAACTGTTATTTTGAGTCATATAATTCTTTATTGGGGGGTTGGAGATGCTGTCATGTGACTTGTAAGATCACTATAAGAAATGGCAGCATTCTTTCTTACCCACCAGATGTCAACAACACCCATTCACAATAGTGACAACCAGAAATGTCTCCAGACATGTCTAAATGTTCCCGGAAGAAAAGGAGGCAGTGCGATGGGGAGGGAGGTGCAAGGATTATCTCCAGTTGAGATCCACAGGCCTACCCCTATGGCAAAATTAAACATGCAAGAGCAAAAAATAACAGCCATACAATAAAGTTTAGGGAAGAATTCCTTACTGGATTCTGGTTTATTATATCTCAATTGAAGTCAATCCTGAGAGTATGATGAAGGAAATGCCCATATATTTTTTTTTCATCTAAAAAATTAAAAATATTTGGAAAGCATGGTCATCTAAGCTAAATAAACTTATAAACTGAAAGAAATGTTCATGTGAAGTATGATATCCCCTATTGCATTACTTAAAGACATTCTAGATTTTTCTCTCAGGTAATGGACTTTTCAGCTTTACACAGACATTGCGTTCTGTTACATATGCATCTATACAATAGTCTCTTTACCGAAAAGATGTAGGTGTCCTGTTCTTCCCTGTCCACTGGCTGCAGTAAGGTGAGGAAGCGGGTGATGCCACTTGGTGTGATGGTGAACACTGAGGTGTAGTCATTCAGGAAAAGGTGAACCTCTGGATCTTTCGTCTTTGGGGAAAAAAAGGCCGATATTTAAATTATTGACCAATTGATACAGCTATGATTACCTGGAATATAATTTTTCAAGTTTATTACAAAATAAGCATAACCTTTTTGAGGATTTCTAAAGAAAAAAGAGATTTAACTGAATATCTACTCATCATTAAGCCAAAAAAGTCCAAATGATGATTTTGTAGAAAACAAAGTAATAAGTACTAGTAAAATTAATGTGAATAAAAAGAAAAAATGTAAAAAGGAGGATAAAGTAGAGAACAATCCAATTAAATATAGTCTTTTGCTTACTTAATGTTAATAATTTCCAGAACTTCACTGGGCTAAAAAAACAAAAACAAAAACAAAAAAACAAAGAAATGCAAAAAAAGGAAAATGGAGCAGTGTTTTAGCTGTACATATGCACATATGCATATTATTATACTGTTCCTGTATTTAATGTAAAATAAAATTATTATATAGTTATGTATAATTTATTATCTATAAATAACATACTTGTTCTATTTAATGCTTCAATTATTCTCCGAGGGGAAACATGCCTATTGTAATTAACATATTCCAGATGATTAAATTGAAAATGTATGGATTTACAGCATGTGTCTGATAAAAAAAAGTCTAGGAAAAAATAACTACATAAAGAGTAAGTGATTGCAAAAGTTCAAAAGGAAGATCATTAACTACCAGTAAGAACTGGAAATCCTTCACAATCTGATTGCCATCCCAGATATGCAAGGAATCAAGGTCTGCAGTGCAGAGCAAGAACAGAGATGTGGAGTAGGAGGTTGGGATTGGTGTCTGCATAGTGGAACAGGAGGGCAGGTGGGCAGGTGCAAGGGGACTACTGTGAGAGTGGGCTTATCAAGAAGGCTATAAAAACAGCAAAAAAGGATGATGCAGGAAGGTAAGAGTATGGCAACTTTTAAAATTTTATGCATAGTATAATGTGAAATCTAATTTAATATCATAGATTGCTTTTCTAAATCTGGTATCAAGGGCTGAGGGCACAGTAGAGAGCTTGGAATCATTAAATACATGTTAATTTAAAAAAAATAGGACTCACATTAAAAAAATTCTATGTAGAAATGAGTAGTTGAAATGCACAATGCACATTAAAAAAGTGTGCATAATTTAATCCACAATATATTTTATATATCTTAAATTTAATATGTATTTATTTCAAATAACTTAGAAATGAATGGTTTTATTTGAATCTGATACAAACTGTATATTGATAATATCTCATAACAAGCTGCTATTTAGATATATCATGGTAGCTTCTTTGTTAATGATTTTGATATAGGGTCTGGATGCTACATTTATTCTAGAATAAAATAAATTAATACTACAGAAAATTTCCATTGGTCTAGTTATAAAATAATAAGTTGTTAAGAGATGTAAAAAGTCAAGAAAATTTACACTGATACTTTCACATAAGCACTTCCTTGTTTTTATTTCAATGTCACGACTCAAATAGCACAGCATGGACTGAAAGTGGGGTATTTTAATTAATCAAATATGTCAGCTAACAAAATTTTATTTAGACAATGAAATTACAATTTATTTACAAATAAACATATTTGAATTATATTTTGAGGATTCTTATTGTGTTATACTTTAATCAATCATAACATTAAATTATATTTTAAAAATCAAAACTATTAGCATGCAGTTTCAATTAATAGAAATTAAATAAGTATGAGTGTCATATTCTTTAGTGCTTATTCTTAGTTTATTTTTAATTTTATGTAATTACAAGGTTTTCAAATTAACAGTGTGTGCTTTGTTTTTGTTTTTTTTTCTGTCTCTGCACGTAAAAACAATTGTGCCCATGAACTCAGTGAGGACAGAGCATGTATTACTATATGACTTGCTTACCAAATATTCATTCCTTTCCCTTTTTAAAATCCTCAGTCACTCTCTCCTTTATGACTAATCCTTTCTCAATGAGTTTTCATCCATCCACTGTAGCTTTTGTTAGTAAATTTGTTAGATACATTAATGCAAATACTGACCCTGTATTTTAAGCATTTTTAAATGAGATATTATGCTAAGGCAATACTGCAATGAGTATTGAGTTGTGAACCACTGTATATGTATAAGACTAGTGCAACATGGTGTGTGAAAATAAGACCACACATTGCACTGATTTTATGAAAGCCACAGCGTTTCTTTGTCAAATGCTTCCCATTTGAAGATGAAATAAACAACAGTACTTCATAAACAGATTCTCTCATAATTGATAACCAGAAACGTTAAAGACTTTGATAATTTAATTGTCTCCATTTCTTGGATCATTTTATAATAACTAGCTTGAGACTAAAATAGCATCTCCCAGAACTGCAGCTTACTCGTTTTATGTAGAGAAGTATTGTACAAGGTATATTTAGTTTATAATAATCTATTCTGCATAGTTCATCTCTGATTAAAATATAGCTTTTGATTTTTATAAATATTTAAAATAGTAACTTTTTTGTATCTATATATTGCGTACATAGATGGCATTGGTTAGTATCTCTGTATTTCTTTAAGTACAAAACTTAAGAAGAAGGCAGATTGGGAAATGTTCATCCAATTATCACTCAAATTTAATATTTTAGATTTATTTGTAAAGGTAATGCTAGTTTAAGTGTAAATCCACATGCTATGAGTGTAAATCCACAGATAATGCTCTGGCTTAATATTCTGATGGGGCTAGTGAATTTTATGCAGTCCTGTGTCTATTAACTTATTTAAAATAAATATTAATTTTTCTAACTCAGTATGTGCACAGAAGGCTAATAAATGTTCTTCTTCCCCGTGACATAAGATAATACTATTTTACTCTAAAAGTATACATTCAATATACACTAAAAGTATGACATATTACTTCAGTCATTTGTGTATTATTTTCTGGAGGATAAAAAATGTCATATTACCTCACAGCCAAAAAATATAAATAAAAAAGTAAACATATCTACATTGGAATTATAAACAAAGATATGAGTGTAGAAAATTTTAAATTTAGCCATATAGAGTAGAAGACATATGTTCAAATATGGAAAGACCATGGCATTTGAAATCAATGGGCACCAAAATATATCCCATACACACACAAGATCATATGCATCCTCATATATATGCACATGCAACACAGAAACATATATATGTATATACACATGCATACTTATATAGACACATAAGTTACAAAGCAAAATGACAACAATTTTATCTTAACTGCCAATTCGAACCAGTTGGTAGTAATTTTCTGAAGTTCCTTGCTGAAAGGGGTTTGACAGCAACTTTTGCAACATTTCAGAAAGAATGTAGTGATGAATTATCAAGGTTTGTCATGGACTAAAAGATCATTTAATAATTAAACAATCTTTAAGTCACTTGTAATTTGGATTCTATACAATTTCCTAGTACCATAAGTATAATATAATGTAAACATACTTAATTTAAACCTATATGCATGTATATTTAAAACAGTTATAGACATTTTTGTAGGTGATAACAAGTAGTTGCCTACTTGTTTTAACTGAGCAGAAAAAGAACAAGAATCAAACCACAGCAATTAACAAAAGAACAAACACAAAATCAACACCTAGTACCTACAGGAACTCCACCAGGTGGAACCTATGTGCAAATTAAATATGAAATAGAAAATGTAAATATAAATGACCACAAACAGAGGTATGGCATATAGGGGTATACTAATAAAACAAAAAAACAAATAAATCACCTTTTCTAGTTAGTACATTTAAATAACAAGTTTTTCCAAGGAATATTTTATTCCTTAGTTCTGGAAAACCCCCACAATATAACATACATGATAACAGTAATATTTTTAAAACATATAAGTACATTATATCTTTAACACTGTGGTGTATTAGATTTCAAAGATACATTTATTTTGAAATAACACTATAAATAGGGAGGTGAATTGACATGGAATTATAAATGAATCTACAAGGGTAACCTCTTTTTATTACTATTCCCTGTTATTTTTTTTTTTTATAACCAAAATTAAATAATCAACTTTCAATAGTTCTGCCACTGGAAACTTGGTGGTCTCAGACATGACTTAAAAATCTTGTGCATTACCGTTATACCTATATTCTAGACTATTTTAAAAGTGTCAAGAGTACTTAAAATATTTAATTATGATTTTTAGATCTGTTCATGTTTATATGTCTAATAACTGTAGAAAAGAAGTATTAGTAAAAAACATTTTGTTCACTTTTTTTTCATTTTCCTGGTGACCCTTCTGACTCAAAATATATGCAGTGAATAACTCAATTTATCAATCTCTGTTACTATTTCTTAAAACTGTGTCTTTCCACACATTTGAAGAAAGGAGCACCACTTAATTTTTGGACAAATAAATCCAAGTCTGTGCTTGGCATTTGCCTTTAGGCATGGCTGCTCTTGAATAATTTAGGAGAGCCAACTCCTGCTGTGAGGACTTTTCATACCTGATGCTTACTCTCCATTTCCAATGCTGACACCTCTAAGAGGTGAACTGTCTCTGTCTATATCCTTAAACTTTATCCCTATTTTGATTAATTTTACTAATTCTGACTTAAAATCAGCAAGATTTTACCATAGATAAATTCTTGCCTATGAGTGACAAACGCCTTGAAGTTTCATTTTGTTAATTGATACCTTTAATCTCATACTGACTGTATTTTATTTTAAGATTTAGAGACTGTTTGACCTGGAAAAAGAAATGATTCGGAAGGGCATACGTCTTCAAACACATTAATGGCCATTTTGTGGATTTATTCTGTGTGCTGACAAATGGAAGAGATAATGGATAATGGATGAGTTACAAAGAGATGGGTTTTAACTCTAAATAAAGAGCTTTCTAAGAATTAGTTGCCCAACCAAGAAATGGGCCATATTGTGAAACAATCCTATATAATTAGAAATTTTGATGTAAATGTTAGATATACTCATCTTATAAGCTTATTTGAATTATAAATATAAAGAAACTATATAGGATATTGGGTCTAGTAATAATTAATGTCGTTTTTTAACATTCGTTTAAAATCTTGCTTGGTGTTGACTTGTATTGACATAACCTTCAAACACGTGGTATCTACAGAATGTGTGAAGTTCAATTAACAAGTTTTGCTTGAAAAAGTTTGTGTTTGGTTTGGTTTTTGTTGCAAAACTAGGGCTAAGAAGATGGCGGATGAAGAGCATATTTGGCACTGCATGCTTTACGAGTTCCAATTAGGAAGAAAAGCAAGTGAGGCTGCAAAAAACATATGTAGTGCTCTTGGTCAAGATGCAGTTAGCGCCAGAAAATGCCAGCGTTGGTTTGAGAAATTTCGCGAGGGAAATTTTTCGTTAGATGACAAGAGTGGCCGAGGCCGTGTGTCCAATTTTGATCAAGAAGCTCTTCAAGCTCTTTTGGTGCAAAATCCTCAAATTACCCAACAAGAGCTTGCGACAACTTTAAATTGTTCACAAAAAACAATTTCCAATCAATTGCGTGCACTTGGCAAAGTCCAAAAGTTTGGAAAATGGGTTCCTCATGAGTTGACCGACAACAACCGTAATCAAAGAGTCACAATTTGCAGTTTGCTCCTCTCTTGTCAAAACCGTTTGCCGTTTTTAGAGCAAATTGTTACCGGAGATGAAGAATGGGTGCTGTATGTTAATCTGAAAAGGTGGCCTCCATAGTTGGACAAAAATGAGGCTCTGCAGCCCACGCCAAAACCTGACTTGCATGCGAAAAAAGTGATGTTGTGTGTTTGGTGGAATTTTAAAGGAATTCTTCATTATGAACTTCTACCATCTAACCAAACCATTACAAGTGCAGTGTATAGTGCCCAATTGGAAAGGTTAGCCCAAGCTTTAAGGGGCTGCCAGCATGATGTTTTTTATTTTTACATTTTTTAAAATTAAATTATTATCTGTGTACATAGTTTAACATTGCCCCCCTTCCATACATACCCTCCCTCCTCAGAGTTTTGTGTCCATTGGTTGTACTTTTTATATGCATGTCAGCATGATGTTTTCATGCTCATTGCATAATGCCATTATTTTTCCCTAACAGCAATTATGCAACCTGTTTTAATCCAGATGAATAGATAAGTGTGCCCTGATAATTTAGCAAACTACTGAATTATACTGAAAATCTGTAAACTGAGAAAAAACAGCTGCTGAATTAAACATACCTATTGACTCATCTTCGATATAGAATTACATGACAATAATAAGACTCTCATTTATATTTTCCCTCTATTCTATAGCTCATATAACCAGGTTTTTATAACATTCCTCATTGACATAAGTATAACAAAAGACATGTTAACAAAATGAGCAACATTTATATTTAACTTACATCTTCTATGTCCTTGTCTAGAACCACAATCCTTAGAGGGGTGGTCAAATTTACACTGTCAGAAATAGTCGATCCCACGGGGGCAGATTCTAGGATGTAGCCTTGATAACTGGGCATCGTGAAATACGGGCTCTGATTGTTTTCATCCAGTATTTCTATGTGCAGACTGGCAAAGGCAGGGAGCGGATGGCCATTGTCCTGCTCAGCCTGGAAAAGAATAAAAACAGGTTTAAAAATTTTAAGTTATAAGGTCCTTCTGAGTGTCACTTTTTATATCATATATGGGGAATCGCTTTTGAACTGCTATCAGTATGGAAAGAAAAAATGCTTTAAAAATAAGAGGGACTTAGAAAACATAAATGAGGAAATGGTTTCATCAAATTTTTTGGTCTTTTGTCTTCAAAAGCAGTGTATATTTAAAAAAAATAATAACTATAAGCATTGCAATAAGTTATTGCAGATTCTCACAAGATAGTGTTAGGAGATAACTACTTACATGCACTTAGACATAAAATTGAGAAGTGAAGATATTTCAATAAATTGCTGATGAAATATTTAAGTATAAGACAAAAATGATTCATTACTCAAAAATATACTTATTTTTATCTCTTCCATGTCTTCTCATTCCACACTAATGATTAAGTTCCCAAATAATTCATAATTCTATATAAAATTAATATATTTAGGCCTTATTTGAGCTCTAAAAAGGATCACAAAGGAAACAGAGATAACTTCAATAAAATATTTTAATAACTGTATAATTTCAATTATATTTAACTAGAAATGTTATTCAAGTTAAATTAATATTTATGTATTAGAAATATATTTTATTGTATTTTTTTCTGTTTAGTTTTTTTTAAATGATGACAATTTGTATTTCAAATAAATTTTCCTAGGAAATCTCCATATAGTCATGTTTTGAGTGGGAAATACCAACCTTTGTTATTCTTTTAAAAAATGTATATTACTATACAGCAATCCAAAGTTTTTGGTTTTTTTTTAGGGAAGATTTCATTACAATTGCCTTCAAACTTTAGAAGAAATCACTGCAATAATTCAATAGTATGCAAATTTACTGAAATAGATTCAAAGTATTTTTCATAAACTTTTATTGCTGTTTTCTCAATTTTTGCAATAGCTGTATTTTGAAATCGACTCAATTTAAAAGTTAAATCCTTTATCCTTTATATTAAATCCTGGAGTGCTTTCCTAAGTGACATTTTGGTCAAAGAAGTTTATAAGTAGCACAGAAAGATAGCTTTGAAAATCCAATCCAGAGCCAAGAGCAAGGTCTCCAGAAGATAATTTTGCACTTTCTTTTCATTGCATTTTAGCTTTTTCATCACTCAAGAGGGTAGGTAACAATCATAGTGGTGTTTGAAAGTACTGGTGACTTTGTACAAAGAAAAATCACATTACCATTTCACATTATATATTGAAGATATACTTTGCAACATAAATTTATGCATATAATAATTTGACATTACGGTAATTATTAAATCCATTGTGAAATAGTGTGATATAAAGCATTGCAAAAAAAAGGTTGATTTGTAGTATTTTGATAACTCCATTTCAATATATTAGATTTCCATTTTAAGGTTATATAGTTTATTCATTTAAATTTTCACTTGGCAGCAGATTGCCAAGTGGTCCACGACACAAAAAGTTTACGAGATCTGCACTAAGGACAACCATACCGAAATAATGTGTAGTCTTTTCTAGAATCATTCAATCTTCACACATAACCCTATTGCTCCTGACCACATACATATGGATATGCTCTTTCTATATCCAGTGGCTGTGATTAATGTGTGCATGGGAGCTCTTTTGGGAGTGCCCTCTGTGACATACAACAGGCCTTTGAACACAGCTAATAGGACAAGAGATAGAGTCTATGCCTAGAAAACATCCCTTTTACAGTAAAGAAATTAATCAGTCCATAAAAAAGGATCAGTTCATATGCAGATCCTTCAGGACAGGACATTTTTTTTTCTCTATTTCTTTATTTTGTTTCTAGTCTACAAGCCATTATCTCATATCCTGGATATATGAATACTGCTATGGAAAATAACAGAATTTATCACTCGTCCCCTTCACTCAATAAACACACACACAAACACAATGTGTGAATGGTGAGGGGAAAGCAGAAAATGTTCTATAACATGAAAGAGGCTTATATTTTTACAGTCAGCTCATACTAGTATGGTTTTTTGTTTTGTTTTATTTTTACAGTCAGCTCATGTGTTCTTAATTTTTACTGCCAGCTGCGAAGCCAAAACAAAAACAATAACAACAAACAAACCATATATTATTTACATGATGAGTACAAGTAAGTCAATAAAACAGGAATAAAAATTCAAATTAGGTCTATGAAAATAATCTAATTCCCCTTATTTTTAAAACCACCATAATGAAAGCTCTGTTTGTTACTGCCCTAACTCAGTGGTCAGCAAACCGCTGACCTCTTGAGTGTGGCTCTTCCATAAAATACCATGGCCTGGGTGAGTCTATTTTGAAGAAGTGGTATTAGAAGAAATTTAAGTTTAAAAAATTTGGCTCTCAAAAGCTATTTCAATTGTTGTACTGTTGATATTTGGCTCTAATTGACTAATGAGTTTGCCGATCTGGCCTAACGTTAGTTTGTTGTTAATATGACTAATATTTTTGGTTTCCTTTTACATGATTTGTCCTATGTTAGGTGTTTCAGCAGTGCTCATGAGATGTCTGTCTGCAAAGTCCACAGTCTTAATTCACCCCTATGTCCTTTTGCCTCTCTAAATGTGAAAACACACTGTTGTTATGATGGAGAAGCTAACAGTGGGTTTTATGGTCAAGGCCCCACCGTCTGTAAGTAAGTGAAAGGCACGGGCCCAGGCACAGGTGTCCTGAGTCATGACACCTAAACAGGGAGATTCTCCACACATTTCTCCAGTTTAGAGAATATAAATGAATATCCAAATGTAAGACGATGGGCGAGATTAGTAGTAGGAAAAATATTAATCACATAGATACTCCAGATTGAATTAGAGTTTAAATGTGGCGCTTAGAACAAGTTAATACCATTATACGTTGCTCTTTAATGGCTCCATGCATCAAATCTTTCATGCAATACTCCTCTTCTATGTAATGTAAATAGGAATTCATAAAAATCTAAGTTAATTTGTTCTGCTGTAACCACGAGTGTGTGAGGTGAGTTTAAAAAAACAGGTCAAGTGAAGCGAGGTGGTATTTAAAAAAAATAATTTCATCCTATAACATTATTTATGTCTATAAAGCCTGCAGTTACAAATTAAATAGATTTAAAAGCCAGCTTTTGTTTGGAGAAGTTCTGGGCATGAGTCCCATTTTCAGTAAAATAAGACCAAAGTGAAACTTAAGCCAAACAAGCAGAAGAATAAAAATTACACTACATGGTTCCTGTGGAGGGAAAACATTGAAAGAGACAAACCACTCCGTTTTCAATATTAAAACAAGTGATAATAATAATCTCTTAGCTCCAGAGGACAGAATAACTTCTTTTTTTTCCTGCTGGCTTGGCAAGCAATTTAAACTTCACAATATCTAATATGAGGTCTGTCAAGTAGATATAATAATTAGGGTGGGAGGAAACGAGACAGATCGAGATATTTAAGTAAATTCTAGGAGAAAAAGAAAGAAATCACTTTTTCCTAGAAAGTCAGAGTTTTATTTATTGTGCATCTATGTGCCTACATTTTTCATCTCATGTTGTCTATTCTCCTGCTCCACAATTTTTCCTAAGTCAACTTCAGTCAGGCTATCGCCCCCACCACTCAAACATGGCTGTTTTTTTTTTTTTTTTTTTCCCATTTCTCCACTATATTTATGTATGAATATTTAGTTAGTTCAATATTCATCACTTATATTATTATTCTCATGTAAATTTTATTTATAACTGGGCAATATAGTATGATTTTATTTTATTTATTTATTTATTTTAATAAATTTTTATTGTTCATATTATTACAAATGTTCCTTCCCCCCCCCCCCTTATCACTCAGAATCAAAGGTCAGATAAAGAGCTTCACTAATAAAAAAAAAAAAAGCTAAAGGAGCTCATCAACAATAAACCAGAATTATATGAATTGCTGAAGGGGGTTCTTTCAGAAGAGAAAGTAAATAAAGATAAAAATTATGAACAACAAATACGTAACTATCAACAAGTGAATCTAAAAACCAAGGAAATTTAAAAACATGGCTGTTCTTGTCAAAATCACCAGTGATTCCTACATTGCTGAAGCAACATTTACTTCCAAACCTTATCTTACTTGCCCTGCATATAAACCTTGATTCAGTAGGCTTTTAGGACAACATTTTCTCTTGCTTTTCTTTCTACATTATTATGTTTTTCTTTTCATTTTCAAGTGGTGGATTTTAATCTTTCTTACCCAATCCTTAAAGTCAGGTTCTGGCAGTCTTCTCTTCTCAGGGCCTTAAAAATGTTAGTAACACAACTTTCAATTTATACCTCCAGCCTGAACTTCTCCTCTGAACTCCAAAATCTATATCCAACTGAGAACATAGCATCTCTGCTTAGATATCGAAGGAACATTTCAAATAGAAGCTCTGTGAAAATGCAGTTCTCCTCTTCCCCCTCACAAACCTGCACCTCAGTCTTCCCACTCGATAGCAGCTCTATTCTTTCACACTTGCTCAAGCCAGGAACCTGGAGGTCACCTGCACTCCTTGCTTCTTTTCAAACCTCCCGTGTAACCAAGAAAAACTCTTTATTGATGATAACTTTGAAATATATGTGGGATTTCACTACTCACCTCTTCCGCCGTCACCATCTTGACCTCACCTATTATCATTTTCACCTGGATCATTTTAATTTACCTGTAGCCTGCTCCCTGATTGCATTTGATTACGCAGTAGCCAGGTTATTTTACTTATTTCATTAAAACCCTTCAATAATGTCAAACTCTTCTCAGGCCCTAGGGCTCTTATCTATTACTTCTTTTATCATATGACTCTTCACACTCAATACTCTGTGTCCTTTTCCTGGACACCACATCCCTTGCTATCAGTAAAGCTTTCCACATACAAAGGAAGAAATGTCTCAAGGTTGCCTTTCCTAGCTAATAGCAGGCTGCTTATCTGACTCTGAAATAGTGGCAGGTCTACCCAGCTACCCAGGGTTCATGCAGATCCCCCAATTCTTTGTTTGCAATTCAAAATTGAACTCTGAA